TATGCAGGATAGATAACATGGCTGTTCTACTGTCTTGTATTTCTATGCTGAAAGAAACTGTCAATGAGTCCTTGGTTGATCAGCATTGCATGTCTACATATGTTTTCATGAGAAACCACTTTGAAGATATCAGTATGTAATACAACAAGCATTGTAAATTCCCTACCACTTTGTTTGTAACTACAGACTGTCTGTACTGTTCTTTTGCTATTGTGTAAAATGTTGTCTGTCTGTTAATGTTTTCCTCCTTTTATTTTTAAAATAAAAAAATAAAATAAAATAAAATAAAAAAATAAAACGATAGCCTGAGAATAAATCAGTGTCTTTTCTACCTGCAAAGTTTTAGTTTCAAATAGTCTTTCTACTCTGTTACTTTTACTAACTGTGAGAAAGTGTTAGAATTTTATGAAAACAATAATTACTTGTAAATCTAAACACAGGGTGAAACATGTGCTTGCATCTATATAATTTTTACACAAAGGAAACAAACCATGGGAAAACTGCATATGTGACAGTCTCAATGTGTACATAGGTTGTTAGCAAACTACAGAAATGAAGTGCATCCTGATGGTGTTTCCAGAAAATATCTGAAGAAAGTACCATTTCAGTCATTCACAAATAATGGTTTTAGAAATTTGTCATTGTTAGGGGCTATTTGCGTTATGATTTAGGCCTAAAATGTCCCCCGAAAGAGCAGTGTTGGGGAGATGATTGAAGCATAGGGGTGCTATACTCAGAAGTACATTCATTCACTGATGACTTGAGTAGCTGAATGTGCTGCTGCGGAGGGAGCTGGTTTGAGGGTGTTACTGCGGTGCGAACTGGAAGAATACATTCTTCTCCCCGGCTCCTCCTCTCCTTCTGCTTTCTGCACAAGTGGGATGAGCAGGTGCTGTATACCAGGCATAGTGGAAACTATGCCGTTTCTGCTTTGCATCCCATCGATTATGGACAGAACCCATTGGAAGCCGTGAGCCATTCTTCAAGTTGTACATGTCAGGTATTTGTCCCAGCAACAGGAAAGTGACTAGTACAATCCATGTTTATTCATTCAAACAGAAGTATAATTTTAATGATCAAAATCAGAAAATAAATTAAATCAGATACTACTGAATAAATATCTTTTTATGCTTCTTCAACCAAGTTATCTCCAAGTCCTTTCTTTTTTATTTCCTTTTACATCTACTTAATGGTTTCTCTCATCTACCCTTGTGGCTTCAATCACTCTCTACACTTTGATGACACACAGTTTTTCTTCAGATCAGATTAATCTTCTGTGTTCTGTGACTCTGGTTAACAGTCTTGCAGATGCAAGTACTTCTATCTCAGCTTGTCTAAAATTTAGCTGAATACGTCCACCTGCTTTACTTCAGTCTGTATTGACCTAACTTTACAACGCCTTTACATGGAACTATCTGCTTAACGAAAATTGTGTAAGTTATGGGCCTTTCTTTGTGCAAGTCAAATTCTAAGGCATCCTTCAAATAGCCATAACCAACAAAACCCATAGTCCTGTCACTTCTGACTTTGTGCTAAACCAGTGGTGGTGAATTTTGGCACACGTGCTACAGGGGGCACTGTTAATTACCATCAAAAACTGAAAGGTTTACTAGCACTGGAAAACACTTCTCCCTCACCATCTATATCCTTAGGATCTGATGTTTCTCAGGACTTGCAATTTTGCCTTGAATTCCATCCAGGTCAGTGTCTTTACAGAAATATTGTCATCTTCAATAACACATTAGACCACGTCACTCCCTTCATTACAACCATTTGGTGACTTCTCTCTAGATAAATTCCAAAGTCTTTAACAGAGATGTCAAAGCCATGTTTCCTGCTTAGCTTCATTTCCTTTTAGCTCATGATTAAGATATGTTAGTTGTATTATCTAATTATATAACTATGCAAGTTGTAGTTACTCAAAGCTTCGAGAAGTTATGAAATTATTCTAATTTGGTATGCCCAATCCATGCTGTCTTTGACGTCTGGCCACTGCACATGATGTCCTCTCCTCCTGGGAAGACCTCACTACCCTTTTTTGCCTAATCACTATTTATATTTAAAGATGCTATTTCCTTCCTCGCAGGCATCTTTAACACTCTCACTTTAACTAGCTTAGGTATTCTTTGCTTTTCATATTTTTTGCTGTACTGTCTTTAACATTAACTCAGTTATATCTGATTATCTTACTGATTTATCTACATCCATACCTGTAGACTATTATTATTATTATTATTGTTATTATTATTATTATTTTGAAGGTAATGCACTTGTTTTTCTTACTAACTGGCAATCAACAGCATATAAAAAGAAGCTAGGCAGGAAAGAGCAGCTTAAAAAATATGAAAAGGAAAGAGCATGTAGAATTCAAGAGAGCATAAGCTGGCAGTAGATAACTGCTAAATGAACCTTTTATAACAGAAACAGATTATATACCATTTTTATTAAAAAAAGATGACTTTACTCATAATTACTGATACTGAAAGAATACAACCATTAGATATTAAACAAAGTACTTCCAACACTCATGAGATAATTTTTATACCTAATAAATGTTGAATGAACATCTATATATCCCTCCATGTAAGCAAAAGTGTCACTAAAAGTGAGAATATTCAACTTTTATGAAAAGAAAATGCCACCTTGACTTGCTACTTGCGTGGAATCTTTAGCACATAAATCTCCTTTCAAAGGCAACAGAAACATTCCACTTCAATTATGTTTGCAGTATTGTTGTTATGGATATATGTCACACGGTTACTGTCAAAAGCATAACTAATGAATATTTATAACCCTTCATTATTTGATCTGGAATATGTAAATTTTACTTGGATTACACTTTAGAAAGTACTTAGATCCTCTATATCTATGCTCTTTTTAATCTCTCTACCCATTTATTTCAGAGTTACAAAATTAATCTTCCATTAGCTATAAAAAAGACTGTATAAAATAAAGATTATTACTTTTTGTACGTGATAATAAATGCACAAGTTCTTCAATAAAAATATATGTGCCAAATTTTACCTACTATCACAAGGTTAGAAAAGTTTGACCTGTCTCACAATTCTCTGAATAATTTAAATAATATTAAAAATAATCACCTTTGCCATTTTATGTTGTTGTTGCTTGCCGTAGAGTTTTGTTTCATTGTTAACTCCAGGGGTTTCATCTACACTGCATTTTCCCTTTAAATACAACCTATACACATGTACTTTTGGTAAACCTAATTGAAAGATTTTCAAAGCTCCATAAGAATGAGAAAAATAAATGGATAAATGTACTTTATTGAGGACTCAACACCTAACCAAATGGTTCATCTGATACTTTCTGTACCTAGATAATAAGTTAGTCAACATTGAAGGATGTCTCCTGCATAATTTCCAAACTTCCAGTAATTTTTGAAATAAATAAAATCTATTTTTACAGGCGATGAATCTGCTTGAGGAACACAGCAATTAGGAAAAGTCTTCCATAATTGAAGGTCTTCGAAGGGAGTACAAGCAAAGTGGGGCTGCTTATTTACACCATTCCATGTTGGTCAGGGGGGAAAAGGTGTGGACTGTATGACGGGAACATCACCGTGCAACCCCACCACCCCTAACTCAGGTTTCCCTTAACTATTCACTTTCTTCTCAGGCTTTTGTTCTTCATGCATCTTTAAAAATAAAATTGGTTTCAAAGTCCTCACGTTAATAAGGTTTATGATAAATCATACATATCACTCTTCATATCAAATTATCTCAAAAAAAGTTTATACATTGTTATTTAACTGTCAGAATAGAAATGACCTTTTTATGATTACAGGAGAAACAAAGCTCTAAAATATTGCACAATTTACTTATAGGACTTGTTAATAAAGTCTAAAGCAGTCACACTAAATAAAACAAGAAGAAATTAAGTATACTTCCTCATTAACAATGAGTTTTTGTCAAAATCTGACAAGCCCTGAATGTGCCAACCTCAGAAAGATTATTCTACATTAAAAAATGACTATTGAACATGATTATGATACATTCTCTCTACATTTTCAAAAATAGATACTCTACTTTCTGTCCTTTATGCTGTAGGAATCTCAACTCTTCGAAACACAAAAAGGAATCATCCAACATAGAAAATACTTTTAAAAGATTCAATTATTTTGTACTTCTGCGCAATGCAGGTGCATTGAAAAAATAGTCTAAATTGAAAATGTTCCCTATGCACAATGGTAAAGAAGCATAATGTAAGCAAATTATGCTTTCAATTTCAAATGTCATATTATTCTGGGATTCAGCTCAGTCTGAATCAAAAACATGAAGACAATTTGAATGAATGTACTTTTTATTATCCATACATAGTTTTCCATAATATTTAGAACATGCAGGTATCTTTGAAAAGACAGCCCCAGAATAATAAACAAGACTCACAAAGGTGTTTAGTTTACCTGTGCTGAGCTCATGGGATCATGTTTGAATTACAATATGTCAAATCAGGAGGTACACCTTTCTTTAAATATTTTTGTTGAAAAGTGTTTTATTTTCCTTGAAAGTAGAAAATAAGTAAGCAAACTTTTCTATAACTGTCCACATAACTATCATAGGCTTTGGAAGGCAAAGCATTTGTCACAGTTGCTCACTTCTGCCACCAAGGGAGACATAAGAAATATGTAATGATTGAGCAGGGATATATTTGAGAATATCTTACAGAAAAACCAGGTTCTGAATTAGGTCTGAGGCCCATGGTTTTACCAATCTTTCAACTATATCTTTAAAAGTTTTTTAAATTATTGTTTGACATTTGGGGTCAAAAATTAGATTTCCTTTAATTAACTACATTTATTCAGTATTTTCACAAGTCGCAGTATTTTTAGAACATATAACTTAGGGAGTTACCAAAATACTAACTGTCGGAAATAGCGGTGACTTCCTCACTGTGATATAACCAGCTGACAGCAGGTGCGGGTGAACTGCTGACTCGGCAGACTACTTCAGCATCCTCTCCTTGCTTGAATTCTTGAGGAGATACCACCTCTCTGAAAGTGAGTTTTTCTGTACCCAGAAAGCAAAAGAGGTCAGAAAAGAAATATTATTTATCACATTACTATATTGTAAACCATAAACATAAAAATATGTTTATTGTACTATGGCAAAATAATTAGGTAAAGCTAAATCTTTGAAACCTCAAACCAAATAAAAACATTCTTCTCCTTATAAGTTCTTATTACACCAAGAATAAATTTCAGAGTCATCACAGTGCCATAGTAGGTCTTATATGAGGACATACTATGACCCACTGGAATCCACCCCCCGCTCTGATCCCAGGTTCTCCTCTGTTCTGGTCACTGACCTCCAGGGAGTACTGTCTTCCTCATATTCCCTTGAACAGTCCAGGTTTGTTCTTGCCCAAAACATTTTTAGTCCCTAAAATTTACTCAGATTCCTGTCCAAAGCCTTCTTACTAAATAACAATGTCTTCCCCTTCAACTTTTCTTATTTTCTATTCACAGTTAATAACTTTTCCTTCAAATTTCATAGCATGTATTACACCATACTCTTCTCTATTGTTATATTTGTTTTATAGGACTTAGATTGGTATTAGGTTGAAAACAATATTTGTTTTATGAGAGGAACATGGATACTTGTGTTTGTTGAGAATTTTTCTGAAAACAAAGCACTGTGCGCCCCTCAACATTTGTTTTATTTTTTCTAATCTTCCCCTAAACAAATAAATCTTCATTTTCCCATTTAAAATATTGAAAAAAATCACACTTCTCAGGTGAATAAATACAAATAGCAAATAAATATATGAAAAAAATATTCAGTATCCTTGGTCACTGAGGAGATGCAAATTAAAACAAGGCTGAGATTCCATCAGAAAGAATGGTTATCATCACGAAATCAACTAATAACAAATGCTGGAGGGGCTGTGGCTAAAAAGGAACCCTTCTTCACTATTGGTGGGAGTGTAGACTGGTACAACCACTACGGAAATCAGTGTGGAGATTCCTCAAGAAAGGATTAGGATTAGAGGTCCCATTCAGCCCAAATTTTCCTGTTCTGGATATTTTCCCAGAAGAGTTAAGAACATCTTAACACAGTGATACATGTGCACCCATGTTTATATCAGCACAATTTGTAATAGCTAAATATTGGAAACAACCCAAATGCCCATTGACTGAGGAATGGATAAAGAAGATGTGGTATTTTTATGTAATGGAGTATGACTTAGGCATAAAGAAAGAAAAAGTTGAGACGTTCATAGGTAAATGGGTGCAACTTGAAACCATACTCATAACTGAAACAAATCACTCTGGGATGTGTAAACATCATACTGTGTCCTTAATATAAGAAGTTGAAAGAGTAACTAGGATCTAAAATGTACAACAGATACTGTGAAAGAGGAAGAAACTGCTCAAAAGGAAAGAGAAACAAAAGAAGGGAAAAGGAAAAAAATATATACACACCAAAGATAGTTAAAATAGCTATAATACTAATTGGTATTGGTTCACTAAAAAGAAAAGTTTATGCCTACGTGGTTTGAGTAATTTTTATGCCTATCTCTTGTAATATGAGTATCTACTTTGAAGACCACAAAAGGCAATGTACTAACCACTGTTACTCTCCTACAATCTTGTTTGGAATTTTATACCATTGTTGTTATTTTTTCCTTATCTTTAAAATTAAAACAAAAAAATAGAAAAGTCTCTTAAAATGCTGTGTCTCTGAAATGAACATTTTGACTCAATTTTTCATTTCATGTGGGATAGCTACTGTAGCTGGTCACATAAATAAGGAAATATTCCTTTAAGGAGGGAGCTTCAAGTAAGCAGGGGAAGCAAATCAGAAAAAATAATTGAGACTAATAACTCATTAACAGGTTCTTTGTTAGCTGGCCAGAAACCTTACTATGGGAATGAGCTGACATTTTTTCTTTACCCTACTTCTAGAATCATAAAACATAAATCTATAAAGAGGTGACCACTTAGGGTGGCATATTCTAAAAATGTGTGTAATATTTTCAGGTATAAATGCTAACCACCACTTGTTGTAAGGCATTATTGTGAATACTTTACGCAATATTAGTTAATGCAATCATCAAAATAACTGTAGGTATGACGAACGTTCTATTACCCCTATTTATACATAGAGACAGAAATGACAGGGAAGTTAGACAATTGGTACAAGGTCACAAAAGTAATTTATAGAGTTTGGTTTTAGGAAGTACATATTATTCACAGTGATTCTGTAAAGTCATTTTACAGTGATCTTGTGAAATCACAAGTTAATAATTTTTAAATATAAGAGAGAAGAAAGGGACCTGGAAAATAATATATTTGAAAGATAAGAAGCAAGGGTACATTTTAAAAATCTTGTTAATGCAAATAGCTGGTGGAATCAGCTAGTGGAGTAGCTGATGGAATAGTTGGTGATGAATCTTGACAAAGTATTTTTCTCTACTAGATTAGTTTTCTGCTTTCTTTCTCTTTGTTCCCATTCATTCTATTTCCCCCCAAAGTTCATGCTATTGCCATTAAAAATGGTAAAGCTATGACATATATAATGTCATCTGTTTCAATCATGATTTTTATTTTAAAATTAAAATTTAGTCTAAGTATAGTTCATATCAGCAAATAAATAATTTATTCAAAGGAGGATTAATGTACTGAGAAAACTGAAACATTTTTGTTTATATCATTGAACCAATAGAATTATCTACATTTATAGATTTATAACTATTACCTACTGTGTATTTTAAGACATACTAAAGTAGTACACATCTTAGAACATTATATAGCATGCAGTTTGTTCCTGAGTGTCAGTTTATATTATTCAACAAATGTTTTTTGAATTCTCTATAACAAAGTACAATTAAACTAATAAATACATGACTTACGGTAAATTTCCAAAACTACCGTAGCTTCTTGTGTTTGTCCTTTGGCATCTGTTGCTTGACAACGATATATCCCTGCATCTTCTACATTTGCATTGTAGATGGTCAGTCGTGACCTGCCGACTTCCTTCTGCACCACCACCCTCTGTGTTGAAATTATCTTCTCTCCTTGCGGATTATACCAATCTACACTCTCAGGTTCACCAATTGCTACACAAAGCCATGAAAAAGAAACATTGGTAAATATGTTCAAGTGTTTCTTTGGCAGTGACATTTACTATTATGCAACATTTTTATAATTTAGAAAAAATATAAATAGAAAATTGGAAATCTGAAAATTATACAAATTTGAAAATAAACACAAATGTTAACACAAATGTTCATCTTTATTTACCCAGCAGTGAATACTCAATCTTGCTCAAGAAAGCAAACTCAAAAATCCAAAAGAAATTTTCTACCTAGCCTTTAAGTTTTGAGAGTCAAAGTTTTACATCGATCATCCATGGATTATATATAATCCATTATTTATGTTTAAGTACTAAAACCCTGTGAGCCAGACATAAAACCAGTTGACAGGTATATTTAAACACAAATATACATGTGAAGATAACGTCCTACATTAAATTTTCTTGTTAAAGATATAGCAGTATTTTCTCTATTAAACAGGAGCGTATAAGAATATAAATCACTTGCAAAGCAAAATATGACCTATAATAATTCTGAATTTTGATTTAATTTCCCAAATTGTTTCCTTATATGAGAAGGCAAAATTAAAATGAAACCAAAATCCACTATTAAAATGAAATCCTGGTCTTTCTCCAACTGAAATGAGTAGTTTTATCTTTTTAATCTACAGTTGTTAACTATTGAATCAGATGATAGTTATATTGAAATAATACTTATCTCTCTAGGCTATTGGTATTTGTTTTATTTCTATTCCCATCAAAGCACTACAATACAAATATTAAGTTTTACAATTCAGAAAGTAGGTTTAAAAAATACATTTACCTGCATTTGCTTTTATGTGTGGAGGTATTTCATCTAATTATTTCAGAGATGATTTGTTTCAGCAACTTATACTACTAATTCAGATGTATCAAGGGAAGTGTATAACCTTAAAGAATACCTACAGGACTTCTTTAAGAAAAATTTTCCTCCTGATTTGTTCTTATGAACTCTCTTTAGAAAGAAATTATCTTTCTTTTAAAAACAAATTGGACCAGTTCAAATATGGAATATTAGAATTTTAAATGAATGTTAGCTAAGCTGTATATTATTTTTCTGAACAGAACCATAAACCATAATAGTTACAACAAAATGCATTTAGGTGGTATTTGTTTTATTTCTATATTTGTAGGAAAAGTGGAAGGGAATAATAAAAATGAGCATCATATTAATTTTATAGTACAGACAATAGACATTTTAAGGAATATGTTGGACATTTTATTCCCTCAAATATGTTAGGAAATTCATTGTGAATCTATTCTATATTTTCATACAATTGTCATAGCTGGCATTCTTTTAGAACCTCTAGTAAAAATTTTCTATCAAAATTACTGTTGATAAGTCTGCATCATTGTACATCATTAATAAATATATTAAATGTTTTTATTTTCTTGGATATGTTATAAAAACACATTTGTTACATGTGCTACAGTTTTATTTAGACCAAAGAGCACATTTACCTTCTTGCTTATATTAAAGATACTTTATATAGATAGATACATACATACATATAGATATAGATATATTTATACAAAGATTTTAATGAGTCTGAAAAATTGAGAGTTATATATTCATCGTCACATAAGAACAGAAAAATAATATAAGCATTCTTATTTGTATGGCATATCATATCTTTTATTTTTAGATTCGTGTTTTATTAATATAAGTAACATAAATAATACTATGTCCATAACATGGTAGGGCGCTTGGTAATACATCTTCATGCAAAAGGAAGCAATATTTACTTATTTGCCTTCTTATTGAAAACTTCAAGAGCTAGAGTAATAATTCAGTAGTGGAGTGTATTCTTAAAATGCACTAGACCCCAAGTTTGATTGTGCACACCCACACTCTTTTCCTCCACCAAAACAAGGAAGGAAAAGAAGAAACTCACTGTGACTGAAAGATATTTATGATTAATTTTCATTTAGGTGTTATTTTGATGATATTCAATATGAAAAACTGACTGCAACATATCTAATGACATGAAAACATATAATTAAAATCTATTTTAAAATTTCATTGTTTATTATTTTATTATTGTCATCATGTGATATAATTGAGTGTGTATGTGTATATCTGCTTCTGTATAAATGTAATATAAATGACATTTAAAGAACTATAGTCTATGTGAAATTTCTTCTGACATAATATGTCATGTTGGACCAGTCATGCCTCTACAGTTTCATCTACAGTTTTTGAATATACAGTGTATTTATAAACCTACGAATTGAGACCTTTAGGAAGGCACGTATATGAAGAATCGTAGGTGCTATTCATTTTTTCAAAATGTAACATTTTCACACATATATTCTGGATATAGTTTATGAATATATTTCTGAAACTATATTTGTATTTAATGTTTACCAACAATTTACATAAGCATCATTCTCAAGATAACTTCTACCAGGCAGTTCATGTCAAGAAGAGTTACCTCAAATGAGATTTGAATTGTTTTAGTATAAATAAGAACAGAAACAATTCTAAAATGTCTTCATAAGCAATTTTAGCACAGAATAAATAAATTTAGATGCTCTAGGTATAAAAGCAGGTATGCACAAAAATGAATTTGATGTGTCTGAATAGTTGCAGCAGGTTTTCACTTCACACTCTAAGTAAAAATGTGATGATAAAGTACTTTAATGTCTTCCAAAAGAATCCTCATCTTCATGTTTAAATTAAATAAAGCTCATATACTTTTCTATAGCTATTATGATATATGATATATTTGATTCATAGGTCTTAGAAAAGCTTTCTTCCTTAAATAACTATCTAACATATGTGAATATTTACCTTTTCAAAGGACAGAATTTTGGTCTACAATTTTCATTCAAACGTAACTAAAATGCACTGTGCCATATCTAATTTATTCATTGCTTATTTATAAAGTCAGTTTGATTATAATGTTACATTTTTCCTAATATTACTACTTAGGCAGAAATATATAAATTCATTTAAGATATGTTTTGGTTTGGCACTGGGAATCGAACTCAGGACCTTCAGCTCGCCAGGCAGGCGCTCATGCCACTGAGCTATTTTCCTGATCTTCATTTAAGATATTATTCATGCATAAGTTATTGAAACATAATGCTATTTTAAAAAATCAATCGAGTTTAATATTCAAAATTAATAACTTGAAAACAACAGGAATAATTTTCATGAAGTTTAATATGCCACACATGGTTATTAAGAAATTTTAGACCATTATAAGTGCATTCATAATTTATTTTTAGGAAATTGAGTTTTTAGTCAAATTGAGCAAATGTATTTTACCAATTATTAAATACATACCTGTACATGTGAAGAATTTCGATTCTCCCACACTAAGCTCTACCTTGCTAAGTGAAATTGTCACTTGAAGAAGAGCTGAAAAAAATTGAGAAACAATTAATTTGGTTTCAACTATGAATTGCAATGAATCATTTGTAAGCCACGTGCTTAAACACCAGAAATTTCCCAAATTTTTATTACCCATAATGACAAATGGATACTTCAAAAATATAATCCATTAGCATTTTGATTGCATTATTATCTATTTTATAACCGACTACGTACAGCATTTAAGGTAATACATCAAAATTTTGTTAGTCAGGTAAAGAAAATAATTCATATTCAGGAAGCTATTCCTTCTTTATGAGTTAGATTTTACATGCATAAATATATTGGGCAATAGCTAATGAGAAATAATGCACAAATTTGAAACTTTGGTGGAAAGAGAAAACTATATACTGTAGTTACAACAATTACAATATATAAATTAGCTGCGTGTGAATTATTTAATAAAAATATTTCCATGAAAGGAGGCATACGAAAGAGTGTGAGAATTCATAATATGAATGTGCTCAAAGGAGAACCCGGGATAGAGGAACAGAAAGGCAGCAGATGTTCAGAATCATAAATGCTTGCTGTTGAATTTAAAGTGAAGTAGTCGGATGACGAAAAATTTTAAAATGTAGCTAAACTTTGTTTTCATATAACTTGACACACGTAGTTTTAGTGATAAGACAAACTAGATATCCCCAGAAACTCTGTCCCTCCATCTTTTTTTTTTTCCACAAATAAATCCCTGAACTTTCAGTCATGTCATAAAGGTGTCAGGGATGAACAGAAAAATTTGAAATCCGAGTGCAAGCCTATCATGGGGGTGAGCTAGTTACAACAGTCAAAACATTTATTTAGCTTAGCACAGACAACAGAGTCAGGAGTGCAGTAGTGTACTCCAGTGCAGTAGTCTCCAGTGCAGTAGTGTACTCCAGAAAAGTGAACACTGGACTAGGTTCATATCCACCCTGAGTAGAAAGAGATAATAGAATCAATCAAATCCCCTGACAAGGAGAAATAACAAAGAAGATTCCTTCTACTGACCTAGGAAGGAGGAATGTTTTTGCATGTATGCTAATCACAATTTTTGCCATACCCAGGTTTGGAATTTTAACTATGAACACATGATCCCTGGAAACCGAAGAGAAAAGCAAAGCTAGAAGGCAAGCAGTCTCACATTCAGAGCTCCAGGCCAAGGGGCACAATTAAAAATAAACCCTTTCAGGAATAACCACATTTTCAAGCAAGGCACCTACAATTTTATAAGTGAAATTTTCTTTGATGTCAACTCACATTCTGACATTATCAAACCAATGGTAAAATAAAGCACTGTAAGAAAAAAAAGCCAGGAGAGAAACACTGTTTGAAATTTCAAATAATACACATTGTAGAGATTTTAGACCAGGAATGTAATGTAACTATGTATAATATGTTTAAATAAATCAATTATGAAAGCAATAACATTTCAAAATTTAGAAGAAAGTATTCAAAATATTTTTATAATAAGGAAATTATGAATGTTTCAGGAGATACATGTAACTTTAACATTACACAATGTGTCTGCATATTGAAACATCATATCGTACTCCTTAAGAACATACAATTAGAACAGAATTATAAATAATTAAACAAAATTATAAACAAATAGAGATTTAATTTTTTAAAATGTGAGAAAGGAACACAATGTTTTCAAAAAGTACCTGTAAAATATATTGCTTTAGCACTTTGGAATGATTTTTTCAAACAATAATATAAAATAAAGGGGCTGGGGATTTAGCTCAGCAGCAAAAGCGCCTGCCTGGCAAGCACAAGGTCGTGAGTTCGGTTCCTGGTACCAGAGAAAAACCAAAAACCAAAAAAAAAATAAAATGTTTCCTCATATGACTCGTACTCCATTAGTGAATTTCTTCATCTCTTTGGGAAACCTTTCTGGGAGTTTTAGGCTAAGCTACAAGACACTCTTCCTTCCTTTCTAGTTTGAGTCCTATTTTTACTCATAATTTCTCAATAATCAGAGGATTCTCAACTTATTTCAGGGCCTCAAAAGTGTTCAAGGAAATCTTACTTTTTCAGAAACAAATGAAAAGCACGTGCTACAAGGTTTAGGAAGACAGCTAGGAAAGGGCAATATATATACATATATACTATATACTACTCTTTTAAAAATATATATATGTTAAAGAGAGTAGTATAGGAGAAATAAACAAACAAAAAAATAGAACAGTAGCAGCATATGAGTATCACGAACATAAACACATTCAAAGTGATACAGGGTCTCAAGACAAAATAATGCAAAACAACAGTGGTTGTTACATTACATATCACTGTCCTCAAATACATTGCTCAGTTTATCAGATGTAAAAATGAAAGATTGCTCAAACCATTAAACAGAATAAGAAAATAATTCTTCGATAAAACGTCAGAGATAATACAGAATTTCACTAGACAGGATGGCAGGAGTTCATCATTGTAACTCCACTGCATACTGTCACCTTGAAATCAGTTGCTCAGACCATCAGACACAAGCATGCAAAGTTGATCAGAACATAAAGAATTGTAAGCATTGACTGGGCATTTCAATACACCATCAGACATCAGCAATACAGCTATTGCAGCTACTCATATATATATTTGTGGAGAAGGACATTCTTTGATTAGAATGCATTAAGGACACAATGATTTGTTTAACCTTGAGTTTACGATCCTCCTGTCTCAGCCTCTTGAGTGCTGGGATTATAAACGTGTCTTGGGTGCTGGGATTACAGTCGTGTCTTGGATGACATGTGGAAAAGGATAATCCTTTGATTATCCTTGCTAAAATGTTTGGTATCCTCCCATTAGTACTGGATAAGCCCTAGGTTCTCACTCAATAAAAGGTGACTGAAATTGGTACTGGAGGCTGCAGTGTGAGGGGCTGTAAGCCCCTTGATCCCAGACATTTGCCTCTCTTGCTTTTCTTCTCTCTCTTTCTTTTCCTTACCATCCGCGGGCACCATCGTTCAAGGGACTTGACACACTGGATAGAACGACATATATTTATATTTTGCCTTCCTTCTTTCTTTTTTCTTCCTTCCCTCATCCCAGTCCTTCCTTCCTTAGGAAAGGGATATATTTAAATAGTGTGAATAATGCTATTTTTAATTACAATTCATAGGTAGTTTTTCCATTAAGGAAAGCAGCTAATCTCTTACTGAACTTTAAAGAAATGGGATCAAATTGGTAAATTGCACAACTCAATAAATTTGATATTGCTCTTATAAAAATCAGAAGAGATGGATGATATTGCAATATGCAGAAATCTGGACATGAAAGCAGGGATTTTAAAAATTGAAGACTTTGGCAGGTCTATGAACAGAATGGAAGGAACCACAGGGTAAAAGAAAAAAACAAAATTTTAATGCTATTCCTCATTCTTTTATCATTCTTTCTTTTGCTTTTTACTTTTTGGCATCATTTTGCACTGTGCCATCAGTTCCCTTTTATGTTTATGAGTATTCGTTCTGTACTTACCCACAATCTAATCTTGCAATATTCAGTATGAACATAACTCTCATATGAGCAGTGCAATTTAATTTTAAATTTTTCGTAGTCAAACTAAACTCATTCTAATCCCACAAAAATTCGCTCATAGTTCAGTCATTACTTTTTTGCTAAAATTAATCAATTATCAAGTCTTGGAAATATAACTTATGAAATACCATTTGTGTGCATCTTTTTTCAAATACAGGCACTCATTATTTTTAAACCAAATTATTTCATGAGCTTTCATATTTTTTTCTGGTTTATCTATTCTATTTAATTTTTGTTTGAAATAGTCATATGGTTGTTGCATGGGAAGATTTCTAGTGGTATCTTTAAATTGTGCTCCCCTACAAAAATATCTTCAAAGTAGATTTATTTTGTATAATAAATCAATTACTGTACAAATTTTAGATGAAAGAAAACTTGCATTTTAAAGTTTGTTTCAATTATACTTCTAGAAATTTTCTGCATAGACACTAAGATCGATTCTCAGTCTCCACCAGCTTATTCACCTTTCTCTCCCTCTACATTTACTTCAACTTTCTCTGGAGCTTATCTCCCTTTTTCCCATCTCCACAGGGCCAACTATATCCTATCTTCTAAGCAAAACTGAAATGTTCCCAACTTTTCAAAACAGCTTCTTATAGCTCCATGTGTTGTATTAAAACATAAATATCTCTGATCAGTCAAGATTTGTTTTTTACACAAACAAGTGAAACATTTGCAATAATTATACTCACTACTGTAACATATTTATATACCAATTCTGGATGCCAGAGCTCATTAATCCCGTTTCATTTCAAAATTTATGCCTCATTGCCACTGTTAATCAATCAAACACTTATTGATGGCTGTTGTGGTTTGTGTCTAGATGTCCCCTGAAAGGCTCAATGTGTAATAGAGCTTTTTCAGAGGTGACTGTATCTAGAGAGAGTGATGTGGGGATGAAGAGTTTCTGATTAGTAAATCAGTCCACGGATTGGTTTGGCATAGTTCTGGTAGGATTAAGGGTGTGAGTACCACACCTGCCCTAGGGCAGGTATCATGTATACAATATGAGGGACAGAAAGAGTCTTGTCTATTTTTCTCTTGTTGCTTTGCTATCTTGCCGGTGTCATGAATAGATCTCCTCCGTGATGCCCCTCTGCCAAAGTGTCCTGCCTTGGAGCCAATTGATTATGGATTGAAACCTCTACAAACTGAGCCAAATAAACTTTTTCTGCTTGGAAAAGTTGAGTATTGGGTATTTCAGCAACGAGAAAAGTAACTAAGACACTGTTTTATTGTTTTGACAGCTTTATTGTATTTGAGCATTGACAATCATTTAATTTCTCTTAAATGAATTTAAAGATATCAGAAAATTTGAGAAATATCTCCGAAGTATTATGTAAACAATTTGTGTCTCTCATATTTAGATTTTTATGTGTGTCCAACTTTTTCTTGCCTGGACCATAAATAATGTCTCAAGTGAGAAAGGAAATGAAATAAATAATGAAAGAAATGTTCAACATATACAAAGATGA